AAAATAAAGGCACAGGCGTTTTCAGCAGTTCATTTTGACATATTTTGACAACAATCGTCATTAAGACAATTCCTATGTTTGAATCCCGTTAATCATGTCGTGGTTGTGTATCGCGTGCAAACGCATCCTAAAATGTGTTTGTGAATGTTTGTCGTAAAAAATGAAAAAGTTACATGGAAAGTTTTCCACGTAATGCACAGGCAATGTGTCGGAAACATGAGTAGAGATCTACACATCAACTATGAAAGGTCAAACCAAAGTCATCATTACTTTACGACATTTACGGCGTAAGCAAAGATTGAATGCAACTGACCTAAATAACGCCATTGGACGTTTGGAAACAGGGGAGTCTTCAACGTCCACAACAGCACTATATCTTGATTATGACATCGATATACCCGCTTCAATTTGACCCAAGATCGTCCCAGAAGTGGAAGACCAAGAATGACCACTCCTGCTCACGACCGATTCATCCGGGTGTTTCACCTACGTCAACGTTTTGCTATAGCAACGGACACTGCAGGACAGGTGCCTGGTCTTCGAAGAATTTCCTACCAAACCATCAGCAATCTTCTGAGAGAAGTGGGAATTCGAGCATATCGACCAAACGTTGGACCTGTCCAGACACGACTACACCAACAACTACGTGTCCAATGGTACAACAGGGTACAGGCATGGAACCTGTGGAACTGGCAACGCGTTTGGTTCAGCGAAGAATCGCGTTTTCTCCTGCATCGACGGGATGGGAGACAACGTGTCTATCGACGTCGACGCGAACGTTTTGCACCAAACTGCGCTCGACAGGTGGACGGATTTGGTGGAAGTAGTGTCATGGTGTGGGGGAACATGTCCTACACGTTTAGATCAGAACTAGTGGTGGTTCAAGGCAGTCTTACAGCAAATCGCTACCACGACCAAATCCTGTGACCTCAATGGCTCCCTCTTTTTAACCGCCAGGGGGAGCTGTTTGAACACGACAAGCGAACGCTTTAATCACTAGACTACCCCCACTATGGTGGTAATTAAAATGTGACACTATATAGGATTTATATAGAAATTCTGACGAGTCTTTATTTAAACCTACGAAGACAATGAATTAAAAGACTTCAATATGGAAATTCCAGCTACAGTCTGTTTGTACATGTAGGATAACGCCTAAATGTTTGTGATAATCAGCTTCAGAAATGTCTGTTCCCTGCATCTTTAAGCAAGGTAACGCACATGGATTCGCTTTGCGAGAAAATAATTCTGCTTCAGTTTTCCTAGGGTTGCAATTAACTTGCCAAACTTCTCCTTATTATTATTACAGGCAGTAACTTCAGGGTTATCTTCAAAGATATTCCCTGAAGTATCGTCTGCAAAAGAATGAATATTGTCATCAATGCCATCTACAAAAAGCATTTGATATAAACCAAAAATAATAATGGCTCCAAAAAAGACCCTTGTGGAACCCAGACTTTAACTTCTTGTAAATGAACTGAAATGCAGCTGTCAATAACTATCATCCAATAATTTAGCATCGTGGAAAAGAAATTCAGTTCGTTCTGTCAACATGTATTATGTAACTCAAGGCAAAAGTGTACCTTATTACATTATAAATAAGGGGGTAGAACGAACTGTATTTCTTAATAAAATTCTCCCTTGGTGAGTTAATATATATAGTTACATCACCTCCGGAGTGCTTGATGTGGCAGTATTTCCAACATATCACCTCGTATCGGCTTGGTGTGGGAATATTCATTTATATCACCTCGTATCGGCTTGGTGTGGGAAAATTTCATTAATATCATCTCGTATCGGCTTGGTGTGAGAGTATTTCAGCTACATCACGTCGTACAAGCTTGGTGTAGGAATATTTCAGTTATATCACCTCGTATCGGCTTGGTGTGAGATTATTTCAGTTATATCACCTCGTATCGGCTGGGTGTGAGATTATTTCAGTTATATCACGTCGTTTCGGCTTGGTGTGAGATTATTTCAGACATATCTCCTCGTATCGGCTTGGTGTGAGAATATTTCAGTTATATCACGTCGTATCGGCTTGGTGTGAGAATATTTCAGTTATATCACGTCGTATCGGCTTGGTGTGAGATTATTTCAGTTACATCACCTCTTATCGGCTTGGTGTGAGATTATTTCAGACATATCACCTCGTATCGGCTTGGTGTGAGATCAGTGTGTATCCGCTATGAAATCCCTCTATTCCATACTTTATCTACGGCTTTGCTCATATCACAGAAAACTACATTCACTTCTTTACATTTATGTCAGGCTTCTAGGATAAAGTTGTACAAGCATGTCATATGATCAGTCTAAGTAAACTTAGGCTCAGTATTATTTGTTACACTGACTATACTGAGTCTAACAAACCCTAGTAGAAGGTCGCGTCAGGTAACCATTTCAATTGACCAATCAGAACACAGCTTACCAAATCGCGAAAGTTGACATTCGCAAGTACCTTTTGAACTTTTACCTCGAAAAAGTTTTGTACCCGAACGATTCCGAATGCTACTTTCCGCACGATCGCTTCCGAGTGATGCACATGGAGCACGCCACAACAGTGAGTAAACAGTCTCTGAAAATAGCGTTTTGTCAGTATTCAAGGTTGTCAGCTTTTGTTCATCATACCTCAACTGGTTAGGTCATTGGAAATATATTTCCAGACGGAATATTGCAAAGTACCTTAAGAGAACATGATAACCATGTCAACAGAAACCCAAAAGCGTATATTCTGCAGGTCATATATCTGTGTTTTATGCTGGTTAAGAGAAAATGCACTTTGTAAGTCCCGCCGAACCCTAAATAGTAGCCGTTGTCTGATTGGTTAAATCCGTTCGGCCGCCTCGCGTTTCATTGGACGGTTATAGGTCGCTCAAAGGTTACCTGACGCGACCTTCCACAAGGTTTTGTTAGACTCAGTATAGCAGTGTAAAGAATAAAACTGAGCCTAAGTTTACTTAGACTCGTCGATTGATAAGGTGAGACCACAGTATTACCCCTTTCCTGTATACACTAGCACTTCCATTTCTGAAATACCAGCACCTTTTTCGCATCCGTTAGTCCTTATCTGTATAAACCAGCTATTTGCTGTTCATACTAGCCCCTTTCTATATTCTAAATCTTTCCTAGATGGAAATTCCGTTAAAGTAATCAGTTTATCATACAGAGCAAAGATCTGGCGCCAAACGAGTTCATCAAGTCTATGTGACCATCACCCGAACCCTCTTCTGAACGTGTCCCATAACACCGTAAAAAGGATTTCATTGTGCAAGTCCCATTAAAGTCTCACATTCAGCTGATGTTTTTAACATCTCATGTGTTTGTGTAACAATATCGCCCGCTAACACATCTTTCGTTAGTTCCAGTAGCATTCTCAACACTGGTTGTTACGGAAACACTTTATGTGCGAGAAAACAAGTAATGGGTAGCCCTGTGGATACATCATTCGCTCATCTCAACTATACCCAGGTTTGATTCCTCACATGATTACAAAGTGTACAGTCCATTTCGCAAATATTTCTGATTTCTTTTGTAAACAATGCAGTGTGGTAGACCAGTGGTAACATCGTGTGTTATTCTCGTCTAGACAAGGTTCGATTCCCTACCTTGGTTTAACGTGAGAACCTCAGAGTCCTCTCACAGTGGAATATAGATTTGCCGTAACGAATGAAAATTTCTCGAAAATAAACATTGACCACGGATGCAACAGTACAACCAGGTTTCGACGGTAAGTTAGTAGAAGGTGCCGTCTTATTCTAACAATACCGACAGTATTTTTTTCAATATGCACCTGCGAACCAATGACAAGCTGATCCGAAAATTCTGTTCTTCAGAATAGCGGATGCACGAGGGTTCCCTGGGAGTTGTACCGTATGGATTAATGGGGTTCCCATGAGAGCTGTACCGTCCGGATTAACCCGAGTTCAAGGTCTTGGTCTGTGCTTGTTGTTGGCAGTCAGAGCGGAAAAGAACAACTCATATGCATAAGGTAACATAATTGGGCCCCTGAGGGATGCCTAATTCTTGCCAATATTTCTTTAGCCGAAGATTGATACAGATGTTTCACATCGTTTTCTTAGTTGTATACTGTGACATTTTCTTTCAAGTTGCTGTGAACCTATGAGGACAGTGGTGTAACAATTTATAAGAAGTAGGTCGCTATGATAAACTAACTGATTTATCATTCGACCTCTGTGACAGTGGATGAATGTTGTTCAATGTCACAGCTAGCAAGATTGAAATGATTAAGTATGGACCAGACAAGACAGCAACCAGAAACATGGCACGCCACCAGGAACCACGATGTTACACGACGTCGCACGTCTACGTTGTATGGAGTGGACATTACGAATCAGAATTAAAACTATTGTTGTACATTCCTGTTGTTTCAGCGTTCCCTTTCAATCGTTTTTTTGCGGGATAACAATATTCAATGCATCAAGGCTTCAAAAGTGTAAAAGTGTGTTGTGGTAGATATGTGGTGGGCATTTTCAAATCTGAAGCATCAGCAAAACAATTAATGTCCGATGTAATTCCTTATTTTGAGCAATTCCTTATTTTTTCTCTTATTAAACAATTGGCTGATGACGATGTCCACCAGTGGGGCAGATTATGCTCGCCTTTTCCACACATCCGGTCAACATAAACGCATGATCTCTGTGTAGGTGGAATTGTTCTAAAGACACTGCTTGTAGTAGACTTTTATAAATACAGAAACAGTTTTGTCGATTTCATTTTTATACGACTAAATCATTGTGTGTGTATTGTGTAATTCATACCACTGACAATCGACATCATGCTGCTCATTTTCATGCTAAACATTTAATCCATGTATCCATACCAAACAGCATGCGTAGTGACGCTTCCATTTAACAAGAATGTCATCTGAATTCCAAAAAGTGGCATCTTAGTGTGCCGGTTTGAAGACATCAGGTCATGCTAATTATATTCAAGATGAGGTGACTTAAATAAGCAGTAGCACAAACAACGTTACGACATAATGAAAGTAAAACATTTAATACATTCATGATTTCATTTCCTCCACAAGACATCATTTGGCCATAACTTATAATGATCTATTGGCAGCGTAGTGGTTCCATCCACCCTGAATGGCGCGAAGCCTAAAGATAACAAATAGTCTCTAAGTCGGAGTCCATATTGGCCAGTTTTCTGCCACATCCATTCCATCAGAATTCCCCGAACGTCTATCTGCCGGAAGAACTTAACACCTGATGTTATCACCTGGAACTCATGTTCCTCAACGTCCATCTTGATAAAGGCTTTTTTAAATGGTATATGAGGCACTAAGTCGTCAAGGCGAACTGTGTCTATAAAATTAGGGTCGTACACATTGGTTGTGCTCACATTGGAGGGTGCAGTCTGTATTCGTGTACCTCCAATGTTTCCTATGTCTCGAACGAAGGACACCTTCTTGTAGCTGTCGGAGATTGCGGTGTAAAATATTGTGATGCTATCTGTGAAGTTATTATCCTGGACAGACTTACAGAACCGAATGACGTTCGCAACAAGGGGGTCCACTGCAACTACCTTCTTTCCCATGAGAGCCGCAACGATGGAGAAGGTGCCGACGTGGGAACCGATGTCGATGAAGCCCATTTTGGGGTCACTGCGGAGGTTGTTAATCATGACCTGGACATCTGGCAGATCCCACAGTCCGTGCAGCTTGAGGGACCCTGAGACCCACTTGTCATCTTTGAGGTCATGGATGTAGATGGCCGCATTACCCACAGGGGACTTCAGCATGGTGCGCTTGAGGTTCAGATTACCGGCACAGAAATGGTGAAGCTGGGTCCATCCACTACCGTTCCACCGGAGAATTTTAGTCTCTGGCCCATTCTGAATGGGCCCTTGTTGACTGACTTGGGGTGAAGTAACAAGGGGAATGTTTTGTTGATCACCCATGTTTGGCTGAGGCACGATAGTCATCTGCACATTCTGTTGACCAGTGGCGGGCATGTTTAGTTGACCAGCCAAAGGAATATATTGTTGACCTGCCACATTGTTAGGAACTTGCACACCTGCCATCTGCACATTCTGTTGCCCAGCGGCGGGCATGTTATGTTGACCAGCCAACGGAATATATTGTTGACCAGCCATGGGCATATTTTGTTGACCAGCCAAAGGCATATATTGTTGACCGACCATATGCATATTTTGGGGAGCCGCCATATTGTTAGGAATTTGCATATCAGGCCCTTGGTTGGGTTGATATCCCCAGCACCAGGCACATTGTTTAGAAAACCCTGCTGCATGTTTCTGGCCTGCATGTATTGGTTGAGGAGTGACATTCGTTGAGCAGGATCGATCTGAGGAGCCGCGGGATAATGCTGGCTGGTTTGCTGTTGATTCATATTGGCTCCCTGATACTGCATCAGCTTCTGAGCCAGAGAGCTGATAGCCTGGACATTCACATTGTTGTTGTTCATATTGACCGGAAGCTGTGGTGAGGGTTGGTTTGGCACATTTGGAACTTGGCTTTGCTGCTGAGACTGTTGAATATTAGCCCCTGGTAAAGGCACAATGGGGTTGTTTGCTATCACTGGCGCAGGGCTGTGTGACTTTTGTTGGGCCATTTCAGCAATATTAATATCCAGTTTGGGCGAACTGTACAGGATTCGTTGAGCAGCAAAGGTCAACAAGCCCACAATGATAATAAGGCACAGAAGGCGGTATATCCGTTTGGATGACATAATGGCTAACACCTTGGCGCACAAGGACTGAATCTTGAATCTTCTCACACCAGCTAACGCTGAAATACCTTCAGTTCACAGAGGCACCTTTTCCTAGGCAGTGTCTATCTCACCATTGTCGCGTGTTGTCGTCAGACAGTGTCCTGAAACAGAATGAACAGATATAATACACAGTCTTAATCTTCACGGTGTTATAAAGTCGTGAAAGAGCAGAGCTTTAGTCACAGCAAATGAAAAGGTGGATAGAATGGGTTAGTTCGGTTTAAGCCTTCTTTGGACAGCATTCCAGGTATACCACGTAGTGTCAGTTTAATGTGGCAGAAAGCCGGAACCCGTCACTCATGTCTCATACGTTCAACACTTTGTTTTGACCATGAGGCGGCTCGGATGAAACAAATCTAGAAACAGTCGAGAAGAACCGGGACTCGAAACCTCAATCATAGGTTCCCGGTTTGCCCAAGGGACGTAACCCTGCACAGCAAATTGCGGCGCCGTAGATGGGCCGACCAACCGTTTCCCCACTAAGGGTAAAAATAAGTGAATTAAATATAGTTACTGTTTTCGGTAACCGTTATAGCCAGTCAGCTTATGAAACATAACTCCGAAGATCCGGGTTCGATTCCCCACATGGGTACAATGTGTGAAGCCCATTTCTGGTGTCCCCCGCCGTGCTATTGCTGGAATATCGCTAAAAGCGGCGTAAAACTAAACTCACTTACTGTAACATAACTACAGTTTGGTCCCTATGTTTCCAAACTTCGAGGCGAAAAACATGGAAATATCAACCCAATGCACACAGCGTCTACTCATATACTGTGGACATATACTGTGGATGATACTGTTCCAAGTTAACAAGCACAGGGCACGCAGGAAAACTCGTCAGGATTTGCGGATTTCCAGCTTATGGCAAAAGAGCGTCAATTCTGGACATAATTGGCCTTGTTCTTTGTTTTCACGAATCAGTACCTTGCAGTTTATAACCATTGCGATGATTTGTTAATTAATATCATTCACGTCCTGAAAACTTCCTAACAATCAAAATCATAATCATCATTAGCAGGAACTAAAAAAGAGTTCTTGACAGTTCTTGAAAGGCATTTACAAAAATAGAATAACAAAAAATCATAGCGGCTAAGAAGTCCTTGAAGTAACTGAACAGTGAGCTTCATGCTGCATTGTCGCGTCCCAGGGGTACCTGCAGACTTTACAGTGCAACAAGAGCGGATTGGTCGCCCCTGCTGTATGTAGGGACGCTTCGTAGAGATTCCGGGGTGGAATAAGATCCGGCCAATATGACCAATATGCGTGTGGTAGGAGAAAACTGCTGAAGGTCAGGTCCGGTGACAGGGTTCATCGCCTGCCATTATCAGACTTATCTACAGGCAGTCGTAACAACGCTTGAATATTGGTAAGTGCAGCGTTTGACAACAGTCAAGAAACACACATGCAGATATCCAGATTGTTCGCATTACTGTTTATCATCCACAACTGTGTTCCACAGGAGATATTGCTTGTGTGAGATCATATGATATCTCCTAGGAGATATCGTTTTTTATTACCCACGTGGTCAACGTATGGCTAGTTGCATACTAATCTCGTACGTCACACGAGTGTCGTATCGCGTTGACCTGTGTCGTAACAACTTGACCTGAGATTCTAACGATTTGATTGGATAACCAATGACCTCTCAATTACGTCACATTCTGACGTAACTATGGTTTTCATTCATAACAAACACGTGAATTCATTCATTCTACAACTTAAATGCATTGTGGGAATGTAAACATCGTGAACGTTGCCGTGTCGCTGTTTAATTGTGAGTCGAACTGAGACATTATATCCGTCGAAAAAACATAAACGCAATGTTTCCACCAGTGATGTTAGTCGAATGAAGCAACTGCAAACCAAGAAACGGGGTGCTGCGGAGTAGTTTACTGTAGGATGTTGTACGAGGCGATGACAACTGACATGCATCGTGACGTCGGTTACCAAGGCAGTGACGTCATTACAGTGTGACGTCATGCAAATATTGTACTACAGTACAAAACTCTTCCGCAACCTCTTTATGAAACCGGTTTCGGTTTGAAACCAAAATATGAACAAAAATACGCTATTTTGTCAATTTAATGCATGTAAGACGTGGGTAATAAATAAAATACCACACTCGGTCTCATTACATACGAATTATACGAAACTCGTGACCTTCCTATGTTATCTGACCTCGCTTTCGCTCGGTCAGATACCATAGGAAGGACACTCGTTTCGTATAATTCGTATGACCTCGTGTAGTATTCTCTATGACAGTAGATTTTGTACAATGCCCTGACAATGTTATGACGTCATGAACTTGATGACGTCACAATGCTATGACATCGCTGCACCGCAAGTCTGACGGCGGTACCGTGTTCAGAGATGTACATTTTTCATTGAAAACTAATGAAGAGTGATTTTGGATGATAAATAGAATCTCACCATTGTGTCTTCTGATATCAAATATATCAACACTCGTTGATAAAAGTATAAATATCCTCGGCAAGCCTCGGATATTTGATATCCAAAGACACTCTGGTGAGATTTTCTATTTATTTCTACACCAAATCGCCTAAAATCAAGATCGGGGCCCCATATCAACGATGTCAGAATAATGTTGCATAGCATCTCTTTAGCAGTTTGGAAATAAATTATGGTAACAAAAAGATTCCAGGCATATTTTGACTTTGTACAATTTATATTATATATTTGTTTATATTTATATTATATATTTGTTGTTGTGTTTTTCATTCACAAGCTCTCACCACGTGACTGATATTCAGCATTCGAAGCACTGTAATATTATCACTTAACCAACTCTTAATGTTACCACGGAAAGATATTACACTGTGCGCTTGTCATTGTATGACGTAATGCATAATACTAACAGTTGTTTAATTTTCATAGGACACACATATTGCCTTCATTTATACAAGCGATCAGTCAGGACTGGTTCAACGTCCTAGAAACAGGTGCACTAACGAGCGGTCTCCGATCTGTTCTCCCGCATGGCGGTACGTCACAGTGTCACAGTTGTGGGTCTCGTGCATTTGTCATGCTTGTTTATCGCTTGTCACGTATCGCTTGTCACGGAGAAGGCATGTAACTCCGTCCATATAGTGAGTCTATGAATCAATTTTAACTAGGTATTTGCAAAATAAGATGAGCGCATCCTGCCCCACGGTACAAATACCTGTTTAAAACGGCAAAAACAACAGGTCACCGTATCGGACGCCATTCCTGTCACTGATGGATTAGATTTAGAAATATTTTCCTCTTGTATTATCAAGAAAGGTAAGATACTTTACGGATGACAACTTCTTAATTATATAAGTTGTCATCCATAAAGTATGTTACCTTCTTATTATTCATCAACTTCTAAAATAAAGGCAAGAATTTTATGGATGTGAACTTTTTTATTGTATCTGATGGACACGAAGTATCGGAGTATCTTCCTACTCCTTCATCGAGTGAAACGTTGTGTCCATCACAATCAAGAAGATCACATCCATAAAATTCTTGCCGTTATGTGTATCACTTCTAAATGTCATTCAAAGACTCAACTTCTAAAATGCTAATCAAACAGTCAGGGCTCCAGATAATTTTTCAACATCAGGAGTACGTACTCCATATTTTTTCACTACAGGAGTACTGGAAAACCTTAAGAGTACATTATTGTTTCGTTCCATATACTCATGCCAATAATGGTTGTCAACCCCCTCCCCACCCCAACCCCACACATCCACACCCCCTCTCCAATAAAAAAAATTGAAGGGGGTGACAACCATTATTGGCATGAGTATATATGCACCACAGCATTGATAGTCTTGTGTAAACAGGTCAATAAACAATAAACCAATATTATTTTTTCAGATAAATACGTCTGTAAATGATTCTAAGACCGTACACTATTGCTGTGGTGCGTACCTGCTACGTTTTCTAAATTATTTGCTACCGTATTGTGCATATTTTGTATCCGTACATACGCCGATACGGCCCTTATCTGGAGCCCTGCAAACAGATCGTGTATTACCACCAAACGTTTTGAATGTTCTGTTGATCCCTTGAAGGTTGTAAGGCTGATCAAACACCATGCATTTGCAAGGCAGGATCTGTATCCGAGGTATTTCAAATTTCAACAACAAGACCATTAGACGCACATAAAGACAAGAAATATACAAGGAAAGAGTACAACTGAGTACTATACATTATATGTAGAATCCTAACATAATGGATAAGAAATGATCACAGCAGTAACTTTGGTGGACAATGTGAGACATTGTAGATCCATTCTCTTATCTAGCTCTGAAAAGTCGTTGTTATCCATAAAGCGTGTCATGAATAGATATGGCACACTTTCAATAAAACCATAAAATATATGATCTAAAGAAAACATCATCTTATCTGAATATTTCTCACGGAAAACCAACATATTGTTAGGGCAACTCACGGCTGAGGGAAGAAGACAGGGTCGATCCGATACAAGACTGTCGCTCCTTATATCCACATGTAGACGATCTGTCAAAACAGTGCGATCCAGCCAATCGCCGCCAGGTCACCCTGAACTGACCGGGGATGTGTTAATTGCCTGGGGGCAAGGCATCCATCAACCGTGATATGCTGTCAGTTAAAACAGCGTGGATGGCGTTTTGTTTTACCTGTATAAAACCCGGTAGGAAGTTAACTGTGTCTGAAACTGTGTGATGTATACCTGCCTCGGGGCTGGAGTCATTTATATCCAGGGCACAGGTATGTATTAACTGCTTCAGGGAATCCCCCAGTGGCAGAACATTACATAACACGCGGTTTTAATTGTACCTGAGATCACTGTTCTTTAATAAGATCGTCATGGTTACCTTGATTAATGGTCATTCAAAGATAAGGTCAGGTTTAACCCAAACATAAACTGTACTTAATGTCGGCATTTGTCTGATATGAAAGTAATTTGCACAAAGCTGATAGTTTAGCTGTTTCAATACGAAGTATCTTTCTTACGGTTTTACTTTCAATTTCTCGATGGGTGCTATAAATGAAACCAAGCTTATATATCTCGACGTGTCAGTGTTCCTAGTTAATGACATTGATCGGAAGGACGGTTAATTATATAATTAAT